GAGGATACCCAACATACTCCAATACGGCATGAAATTCATACTACAGCAGCAAGGTGGAGAATGTTAGATAGGTAGGTACTACATCAACTGAACTCTTGTTTTAAAACTATTTATTTTACTCACAGTACCAGAACTGCCGCTATTAGATACGGTTTTGCCTTCCAGCATGGAAAGGCTTCCTTCATATTAAATTGACGCTACGCGCTACAGTAATAGTAGTCTAGAGGTTAAGTTTGTTCTAAACCTTTTTGATACTCGCCTGAAGCATTCTGGGGTAGGGTGATGTGTAGATTAACGTCCAGACGCTACTTTAGAGAGTAATGTAGTGTAGTAACATCCCTTTCAAGCTGCACACCAGTCTTAGAGGACTGTAAACGCCGGGCTTTAAACTGTAATACATTATGCCAATACTCACAGAAAAGCTCAGAACATTTAGTCTTCAAACTTATTGCAACATCCCTGGGTTGTCCCAAGAGCAGGGTCACCCGTAGCAGGACCACAAAATTGGAGGCTGCCTACTGAATTTTGGGAAGTTGGCACAATTACGTAGTTTCATTATTCTGATTCACCGATACTGTGTGAAACTGTTGCTATGACTACTTTTTCTGCAACTGGCTCTTCTGCTAGCTTCTCAAGAAAGTGACCAAACCATCTGCCAATATAAAGAAAATATCTGTTCTTATGTTGAGTGGTGGCCAAATTCTCTTTCCTTTAGATGTGGCACATGAGAAATCAACACCACCTTCCACGTGCAGAATAAGGACAGACATGTTTACTGCAGACTTCAAAAGAATTTTTCTTGAGTTTTTAAGGGAAAAGAAGAAACATACTATCAACATTCCTTATACCCTGTTAGGTCTACAGATTTTCTATGTAACTAAAACCCCAGAATATAAAAGTCTATCCACAGTAAAAAGACCCTTGCTCAAATGTACCATGATATAAGACTGAATACCATATTTAAGCCCACTACCAGTGTTTGAAAGTCATTTCAAGTTCACAATCTCTAATTTTTTTAAAAAATCATTTTCTTCCCCATTTCAACAGACATGACATACCAACAGCTGCCACATCAAAATACAGGTAAAGAGTTGACATTGTTAACTCATTACAAACTAGGGCTCAGATCCCTATGATAACACACAGGGCTTGCAGTTGCAGAAGCAAGCTATTACTTTCATTCAGTCCAACAAAACAGATGCAAAGTTTAATCTTCAGACATGTGGTAAGCACGCATTTCGGAGTCCTAGTTCCTGTTTGTTCTTAACAGCTCAGTGCAACTGGAAACCCAAGCCACCTATCCAACACCCAAATGTTCCCTCCCTCTCCCCCAAATCCAGGAAAACATACAGCAGTTTCCAGATACTTTGTGATCTTGTTGGAATGGAGTTAAAACAGACCTACAGAACCAAGGAAAGCAGGAAGTGATAAAAATAACATACTTAACAGGTTTTTTTTGCATGTTGCTTAAAGAATTGTAAACAGTTAAAGCCTCAAGTCAATGCTGCTCAATATTTACACACCCATATGCCCATACATTCAGCAGG